TCAGTCACCAAARCAACACAAATGGTAGCTAAAGGGTTTTCCTCCATGGCTGGTTTTTAACACTGAAAGGAATTTTTATAAAATCTTTGGTGGTAATAACACAGATACTTTGAAGGTATCAGGTCCCTTTTCTTCAGAGCCATAATCATTTTAAACCAATGAAAAAGCATTCTTAGATGTTTATAAGCAGCTGCTTTCTCCAGCTGAAATAACTTGCTCCAGGGTCAGCTCATGGATTAATGGCAGGAATTCCTGACTGCCTCTCACGGAACCATGTCCCTGCAGACAAAGTCCAAAGGGACTATTAAATYCCCCTTGTAAGGAAGCAGAAGGCCTGGAAACTACAAGCACCCTACCACAGAAACACTTTCATGGRTCCCATACTTCATCCAATAGAGGACCTTGGTACATTTCCATACCCAACTTCTATAAATCCTGCAGAAGGCTTGCAATTAGGGAAAACCCATACAGTTCAGCAAATGACATTCTCTCAGTAAACTTAATGTAGTTATGACTTCATCATGAGTGACTTCTATATGAGTTCTATGAATCTCATATGGAAATGGAAAGACATAAGGAAACCTCCTATAGCCAGTGAGTAGTTCCAACCACCCGTTAAATAAGCTCACCTGTGTTTAATTGGATTTATTTACTGAAACTGCTTGTGTGCTGTATTTTTCTGTCTTTTTCTTCAGGGTACTGTTCTCTCCAATGGTCAAAACCAGAACAATCTTTTTGTTTTTGCTAGAATGGTCATCAAAAGCAGCTAAAATTAATAATTTTCAAAATGAGCAGGAGAAATTTACCATTTTCAGAAACAGATGTCACCTGATATCCACTAAAGTTAAGTGGTGGTAAGCACAGTCAAATGGAAGATACTCAGCACGTGTTAGGTTAAAATTGCTGAACTTTTTTCCTCCTTTTTCTACTACCCCCTTTTTTGATACTGACTTCTGGACTCCTCCTAGAGATGCTTCTTAGGTCCCTGGTTGAGCAAATTGGGTACTTGGAACAAAATTAGTTTTAACACAATAGTTCACAGGAGCATCCCTCCTTTTTGTGCTCAAAGATTTATGATACCCAGAAAACTTGTTTTATTTAAGTAATATATATGAGCTACTTTATGGACAGATTTTTTTGTCCTGCTTGTCCCAAAATCCCAGATACCTTCCTTCTAAAAAGAAAAGGAGGTGGGGAAGAGCAAGCATTGTGAACCCGTGATCTTCCAATGGCAAATTCTTTAAATACTCCAAGGAACRTGAATCATACAAATGAAGAGTTGTAAAAATCCATAGCTTTTCCTTTCCTTAAGCAGGGTTGTTTCACCTCAACATTTGAGCTWAATATCCCTCAAAATAACAAAATTCCTGCCCAGATTCCTGTCCCAGGCTATCACATACTGCCTAGCTGTTAAAATGACATCATTTGTCGTTAGCACAACTCACCATCTAGAAGGTGGTRGGAGGAAACACTTCGCAATCTCCAAAGCCACACAAAAGTCTCTGCAGATGGCTTTTTCTGAACTTTCCCTCTCTTCCCTGAGTTCACTGACCACTTTAATTGGACTTTGCTGCAACCTGACCCTAGATCTCACAAAGTACCTGTACCATGATGAGAGGAAGGTCCATCAGCAGTAACAAAAAAGGCCAGACCTTAAAATCCACAGCAGCTGAAACTGCAGGCAAATGTTTGCCAACACTTGTCAGGCTTCATCTCTTCCCTGTTTGAAGAACAGATTATTTCTCAAGACCAGGGAACAGTGTAACATTTACTCTCAGTGTCCTTCTTGACAACCTGAGCTGTTGGCCATTACCCACAAAGGTCCTTTGGACAGTGACCATTCATGCAGGTTGGTCTGTGGCTCTTCTCCAGAGGAAGCATTTATAAGCCCTGTTTTCTCAGGGCATTAGGAAATCACTTCACACAGAAGAGATACTCTTCAGTGGAGGGCAAGTTCACCATTGGCCAAAGCAAAATCCTTGGCTAAGATGACATCCAATTCATACATTTTTCCATACKGACTTGAAGTTCCTTCTAAGCCTCTCTTCTTTTGTGCATCAGTAGGCAATCTGTCTATTCAGCATCCATTGAGGTAAAATGCCGTAAGGGCATTTGAAACCAAGGGCATGTCATTACAGAAAAAAAAAAAAAAAAGGAGGAATGGACAACTGACAGATAAGATTACTTCCTGATTTAATGTGATACTGAATGCAGTCAAAGATCCAGACCTAATCAGTTGTCATTCATTCCAGGTTAGTGTTACCTCTGCTTAATAAGCATGAAGAGAATGTTCAGCAGTRACATCTTCAGGGAAATAATTTTGCTTGTGGAACAGCTGAAAACKGCCCAATTCTTGTTWWTKTTTTTTTTTTTWATGCCAGGGCAGTTCACTACATACTTTACACAAGCAAGACGCCAGAAGACACTTCCATATACTAAATAAGGAGCCCACCAGTTCCTGCTCCAGCTACCAGTGCATTAAAGCTACACCAAAGCTGCAGAAAGTAGGGGAAGTCTCCTGTTTCATTAGCAGAGCAGAGACAGTATAATTTAAGTTTGATGGATTTCCAGTTCACAAAAGCATCAGTAAAGGCAGCATTCCTTACAGGGCTAAATGCCACAGGGAACTGCAGTCCAAAGCAGAATCTCCCAGGCTCCTGTGCAAGAATTGTTTCCATTCTAGAATCCTTCAGGATAGTGAATGAGCTAAGAGCCATCTTTCATCTCACTTCCCAACTGCCTGCACTTCTTATAATCTAGGTTTTATCAGCTCAGAGCAAAATTTAGCTTCCTAAGCAATAAAAAAGGATGTTCAGTCATTATAGTAGGGGGCAAAAGCATGAAACCCAAAGTGCACTTGCACCCATCTCTAGGCAGGAAAGGCTGATGTGAGAGAATGCAGCATTTTGTAGCTCTAACTCACGCTCCAGGACTCCCACCTTGCTTCCTGCACACACACAATTTGGAAAGGTAAATCAGCCCTAAACCACTGCCTGGAGTTTCCTTTGAAACACCTAGTGCTGATAAAAGGCTCTGTAGAGAACTACTATATTTTTATTCTTCCCAAATCAGGAGTTGTATGAGCAGTGGCTATCAAAGTTTCCAGTAGGAAAGATGACTCACAAGAATAACATTTAGGGATGACAGGAGATAGGAGCCTCTGTGATCCACTGGACATTTGCTCAGGTTCCTCACCTGTGAGGCTTGTATTTTCCAATGTGTCTGAGGCATAGATGCTATGGAGTAGACTGGAACACACTAAATCTTGTCTCATGGTTGGAGGCTCTGTTTGCTTCCACTTCCCAAGCTAAATAAATATCAGGTAGGTAGTTAATGACCCACGGTGAAGACAGGGACAGGAAGAGCAGCCTGTGCTGCACTGGAGCAAGATGAAAGTGCTTCTGTTTTACATTCTAAATATATCCCCATTTTGTGCTGCACGCAGAGCTCACGAACACACATCTGTGAATAAAACACAGGTAAATAAAAATCCTACTATTAACAGCCCTTTGAGAGCAGATCAGAGAAGAGGTGAGTGCAATTGCAGACCCTGAAACCTGACTACATAACTTGTAATCTGCCCACCTATTTTTACCTTAGCAAGGACAATGACAGCAGTGAAAAAAAAAATGGAGGAGTCTGAATACCTTCTGCATGCATAATAGTGAAYTTAGGAAACCCAGAACAGTTTCTTCCAGGAAACATTATAATTTTATACTCATTTGCATGTCTGGAGTGCAAGTGTAGTACACATCACAAAAAATTGCACCACTGCAAACCTCACTTTGGCTTCAATAAAATCAAAATGTAAAGTATTTGACATAAGAAATAAGAAAGATATCAGAAAACAAGATCATGTGGAACTGGTGAAGTACTAATTCAGAAGAACTTTTGTACTAATAGACCATTTGAACTGGCCTGCAGGTTTAAAACAAGGAAAATCTAATTTCCAAGAAGGATGATCTCAGAACTCCTGATCAGAATTTTAAAGAAAAACCAAACCAAAATAACCAGAAAGTGAAAAACAACTTTGCAAATTCTTCCATGGATAATAGCCATGGAGTTTCCAGCYTGGGAGACCTGAACACAACACAGGTCCTAGGAGAAGAGCTAAGCCAGGCTAGCTTGCAGGCACCACATTTTTGTTTAGAACCCCTTACTGTGCGATAGTGAGGAAATGCCTTTGTCACAGGAAGACTCACTCCAGAACCAGCTGCCATWCAGGGGAGGGCAGAAGGATGCAGGACTGTTCCTGCACTATTTAGCCCTGGAGGAGAAGTGATGGGTATGGCCCAGCTCCACACCCAGTCCCAGATGGAAGGAGCCTGGAGACCAAGGCAGTGCAGAGCCTGCAGGTATTCTGTGTTTCCCAGCACTGCACCAGGGATGCCATGTGGATCCAAGTTGCTCAGCAGCCAGCTCAAAGATGCTTCCATGGCATTGTACTTGCCCATGTAGAATCATCTTGGCACCTTCAACATGGTGGTCTTGATGGAATCTAACATGTGAAATTGCAGCTCCTCTTYATGTCACTTTCACCTTGCTATTGGGGAATAGCAGGTTGCAATCATGGATTCGTCTCTAATATTTAAAATACTGTTTTATAAGAAAAAAGGACAGATGCACAAGCAAGAAGCCAAGATGCATGAACAGGTGTTCTTGCTTTGTGCAAGCAACTGACATCYTGAATAATATTAATGAAACAAAAAACTAGACCCCAGAATGAAAACATTTTTAAYGCTTTGTCCTGGTTTCAGCTGGGGCAGAGTTAATACTTTTCATAATAGATGGTTCAGTGGTGTGTTTTGGATTTAGTATGAGAATAATKCTGGTAACAAACCAATATTTTAATTGCTGCTAAGTAGTGCTTACTCTAAACCAAGGACTTTCCAGTTTCCCGTGCTCTGCCAGCGCAAGAAGATGGAAGGGGACATGGCTGGTATAGCTGACCTGGGCTAACCAAAGGGATATTCAATATCATAGAACACCACACATACTGTATAGATTGAGGGAAGAAGTCCAAGGAGGGGCTGATTGATGATCAAGGAGGGGCTGGGTATCAGTCAGCAGGCAATGAACAATTGTATTGTACAACAYTTGTTTTTCTTGAGTTTTATTSCTCTCTTTTTTTGTTACTTCCCATTTCATTACAATTATTATTATTACATTTTACTTTATTTCAGTTATTAAACKGTTCCTATCTCAACSCATGGSTTTCCAATTCTCCTTCTCATCCCATTGAGGGAGAGAGACGGGGATTGAGTAAGAAGGTGTGTGGTACATAGTGCCAGCTGGTGTGAAACCACAGYATACTTGGAACTTCATCCTCCACCGGACTGGTCTCCAGAAGACAGCTCTACAGTACATTACAGATCATTGTTATTTGGCTCAAAAACCCCTGGGCAACCAAGAAGCTTCATTCACATCCAACAGRTTTTTTGTTCTGCTACTTTCTGTGTGGCATCAGAGAGCAGCCTCTYCAGAGAAAGGTCTTTGTTCCACTTGTGTTACAGAGGGGTTGTTTTAATGCTGTTTTCTGTGTCAGTCTTACGTTGGCGCTTCTTGGTTTTTCTTCGTGACACAACCCAGCCAAGCAAAGAACCCACCAGGACTCCAGCTACTGCAGTCACAATGACAGCCCAGTAGGGGACTGAAGATTCTGTTTTCTCCAAGCTGAGATCTGAATCTCCAAATCCACTATTTCTTCGTGTGAAAAGAAAAGGCTTCTCCTAGAAAAGGAGAGGAAAGGAGAGGAAAGGAGAGGAAAGGCTTATTGACCACACACCACTCAACAGGCAGTATCCCAACAATAAGACATTGCCCCTTCTCAGAGAAGAATGGTAAATCTTTAGATATCAGCTGGTTTTGCCTTCTCTCTATCTTAGCCCAACCACTCTCTTGCTCTATTGCCTGAGAATTCTAAGAACAAAAAAAAGAAGCCACCTCAGAATCAGAATGGTGGCATCACTTCCTAATTTACTTGCTGCAAACAACCAAATGGAAATATACGGGCTCATTAGAACTGGCTTTCATGAGAGGCTTTCCATTGCAGCAAGGAAAAAGTTTTTTGACTAAAATCTTAAGCAGGTTTCCCCATCTGTAATGAAACAGGAGTATTTTTCRGCTATTTGAAGCCTTTACAAAGATACTCTTTTAAAGAGCTTTACCTATGCAAAAAAAGGAGAAAAATAGAGGTAATTGATGGAGAGAGCACCATGACCTTTACTTACAGGGTTTGGACACCTCAGTTTTGATCTGTCATGGGTAAAGTTGTTGTAAGTCTGCTTTTCACCAACTGGCTCCAGCTGAAGAAGAGAAAAGCAATGTTAAACATAATGATTTTTTTTTTCTTCTCAGACTCTCTTGACTTAGACAGTTACAACTTCTTATCCGACCTTTTGGTGCTTGCAGTAGTGAAGAAGTGGGATAGCAGGAACACAGGAAAGTTTGCAAACATTTTAACACTCATGAAMTGAAGATATTGAGAATCAGATGTACTGGCTGCAGAATAACTCCCTCGGAAGCAAGGAATAGGATAAGTCTGTTTTCCTTTTGCATTGCTCTGAATACAACGTATTTTAAATATTTTGCTAAAGCAGTGGTTCACTATTACACCCAGTTCTGCTATGTACTCATCTCAAATGGCAATAAAAACCACAACGGAAAAAACCCACATGAAATATGTTAGACATATTACTGAGCACATTACTTAAAGAAAGATGCCCAGGTATCATGGTGATGGGATTCACTTCAGAAATGACAGAGTTACAGAGAGAGGATGGGACAGTGCCAACCTTCTCAATCTTCACTCAGACAAGAAATTCCCTGGAGGTTTTAGCTGAGGCTGGGTTCACAATACTGCAAGAAGGAGTTAAACAGAGCCTTTTATATTGTCAGCTGTCAGGTAAGTTGCAATAGCTGACCAAAGGCTCACCCCGAGCCTATTTTCAATTCAACATAAAATAARCCCAGGCTAATAGCAGGCAGTTGTGCTTGGCTAGGAGTGCACATACCACCGGTTGCCATAGTTAAGCTAACAAGTAGAGGCTTGCTCAGTCGTGTTAACTGAAGTGTTTACAACTGTTGTATGGCATGCCTGAAGTAATGACTCCAAGATTGGTCCATAGAGAACTGCAAAGTTGTCATCCAGCACTTCTGGGAATACAGCACAGAGGATGGCCATTGCTTCTGCTATTGTCCATACAGGCATTTACTGTCCTCAAGGGATTAAAGYGTCAGCTCTATGCTGAAGAGAAACAATACAGCAACAAGCCAAACACAACATGGAGAAAACAAATTCTAACCACAAGATTCCCATATGGAAACATTGGGGATACTTTCTCTCTCTAGCTCATTCTTAATAAAAAAATTATAAAAATAGAAAGAAGCTAGCAGAGACTGAAAAATAAAAATAAATGAACCACAGAAAAATATAACTAGGGAAGAGAAGAAAGCTAACAAGTGAAGAGAAGATAAGAAGCAAAACATGGTGCCAAGTTTTTTCTTATTGTTGTAGGATCCTGACGGACTCTTTTTTGATTCCTAATCACTTGGCCCACCCACCAGCTAATGCAGTGAAGACTGAATTTGGTAGTTTCATTACACCTTAAAGRGAACAGCTCAGTTATTTGTACAATGTGTGGCTCACATCTTGCAGCATTCTGCCTGCAGTGCAACTGGTTATTTGTAGATAATTGTAATTCTTCCCATGCCAGGGCACTTGGTAAAGATTCTGGCACCGATCCCAGACAAAAGATGATAATATGCAAAATTCTGTAACCATCCATGCTTACTTCATCTCTATGCAATCTGTTCTTCAGGAGCGTTAGCTTCTGAGCTTTGAAGATGACATATCCCCAATGAGGATGTATGTATCTATGAGGATACAGGACAAATTCTGGAAGAAACCCACAGCTCCTCTAGAGCATATAGCAAACATGGAAGCAGAACACAAGCCACACTCACTGTCCATGTATCTCCTCATGTCAGCCAAAKACACCTGACAAGGTGGACCCATGGAAGCCCCTTAAGACTATAAAGTCCTCCGACTTCAGAGAGCAGGACTACACTTTGCTTTACACAAAGCAAAAAGGGCAAAGAATATTACGGCAAGGGAGAGACTGCATAAGCCATCCCAGTCCCTGGATACCCACACAGTGGCCAGGCACAGTCTGGCCCTTTATGTGCACTGACAAGAATTTCTGTCATTTGGCCATAAGCCTGCAGCCTGCCGAGCTTTTCAGGGAACAGGGAAACAATACAGCCTTACAGTAAGCTTGCACAGCCTTGCCGTACAAGGACTGCAAGGGAAAAGCAGGGATGTGTTACAAGAACTAGATTTAAATAGTAAACAGTAATATCTTCAGTTGGCATAGACCAACAGTTCTCTGCAGGAGGGAATAGTTGTGCTTTGCATCAGTAAGAACCTGATCCCTGCCACCCCAGTAGAAAGCTTTGTGTCGATATCCTTAGATGCGTAGGAAATGAGTGACAGTCTGGACAGAAAAAAAMCTCTGGTGGCATAGGAAAAAAGACTGATGGTGATTCAGGCATGAGTAATGGCCAATAAGAATACCACATGGCAACAGGAACCCAATTTAAGACTGCCATATGTCCAGGTACTGTCTCTTCTTTTTTTTCTTGAAACCCTCAGCCATGCTCAATTTGAATTTTTCTACATTTGCCTGGGGTTTTTGGCCCACCATTAGCCCTGTTTAAAGGCTATGATGCAGAGTGAAGCCTACCAGCCTGCTGTCATCTGGAGTCCCAGACAGGGAAGCCTGATGGAAAACAGGCAGATTTGCTGTGCATGCACAAAACAATTACTCCAAGCATGTGTGTGCATCGTACATTCTATAACCCTGGACCTACAGCTCATGTGCTGCACTGGGCAGCTGCACAGATTCCTGACCTGCATCTTCCAGTCCTTCTGCTCAAGCTCACCCTGGGGTGTCCTGTAAGTTCCTTATCTTGCTCAGACTTTTACTTGGACAGAAAAGAAATTCCCCTCCTTTTATGCTTGTTGTACAAACCAGGATGCAGGGTTTCTGCTAGCACAGTGTGTTTGGGAACTGGTGTTTACAAGACAAGGGGAGGAAATGTTGCTGTGGCATGAAAATGCCATAGTTTGGTCCAACATAGGGAAACATGTTTCTGATAGCAACTGCGACCTTGGAGCTATCARGTCTAGCATGTGCCTCTTACACCTTCTTCCAACACTATTTGAAAGCTATAATTTCCCCCAAAATGACAGATGGAATGTGATTGCAAGCATCATAGGTTTGATTTCAGTCCCCCATTAGTTTTAGTGACTCTACTAGAACTGCCTCAGATACTAGAGTGGGTGGTACAACATGTCCACACTATTAATGGCAGCAAAAATTCAGTCACATATATGTTTTTTTAATAAATATAATAGAATTCACTGAAGAAGGGCAAGCTCATTGAACAGACATTTTCAAACCTACAGAACTGAATCTTTAAATTTTTGTTTTAATGTGAATTATTTACCAAAATAGAAAGGAACTTTTCATTACGTTAAGACTCTCAGGACTTCTCATTTTGAACGAGCAAAGACTTACCCTGTTTCATGCAACATGATCACTTTGGATTACGTTCCTAAGCAATGCAGAGTGAGAAGAACCTCGGAACTGAGCAACCCCCTCTTGTTAGGATATCAGTTTTATGTCTTGTTTACTCCTTTGTTTCAGACACCTTTCTCGGCATCTTTTGTAGCTACTGCTAKCCCAAACTCATAGGAAACTAAGTTGCAAACTCTTACCATATTATTCCAGAGAGCCATGGCCATCTCAGCATAGCCTCTTACACTGAAATGAATGCAGTCTGCAGCAAAGAAACTCATATCTGGCTTGTTGGTCTGCAATAAAAGCAAAAATTTCTCAGCAAATTTCAATACGTGAGATCTGATACACCTAATAGTGTACTGTACTTGGTATACCCAGTTCACAGTTTTGATTTGCTCATGTTTTAACACTGCAAATAAACTTAGGTTCTCATAACTAYGGGGTGATTACTGCACCTTGAGACCTTCTGTGTAATGCAGCCTGCTCAACTTCACACAGCAATTTTCATAACAAAACTAAACTAACCATTAAGCCAACAGTCACAGCAATCACACAGACACTGCCTTTGACCCACATTCCATTATGTACAGAACTGATAGAAAACTGTTTATTACTGCTTTTTAAACTTCCATGTCTCCGACTTACAACCTTCCAGGTGTTGAAATTTCTGCTAAATTTCAGGTAACAATAAAAATGATAGGCTTATTCAGCCGTGGCATGTGTCTCTCTTAGGGGGAATTTACCTCATTACTACCTGTGTGGTGACCATTACTCAACCTTGAAGCTTGCCAGAAAAAAAATGGAGATGGTATGAAAAAATGATCAGTACTGTTCAAATCTGAGYTGCTTTGACCTGGATTCATGCTGTTTATTTGTATCCCTAACTACACAGTATACCTAATGGAGAAAAGAAGGAGAAYCAGTGTTTGGTTTCAAAGGCTGCTTCCTGTTTCTAGGCTGGGATGAGTCAGAGATTCAAGTACTGGTCTCCATGTGAAGAAAACCTGAACACTTTCCGTAACCTACGTCGGAAAACTGTGGTGAATGCAAACCAACCCACTCAACAGGGGGAAGTAACATGCAGTTTAGAGRAAGTCAGAGGTGCCTAGTTTGTGGGTGCACACTGTGAATGTTTCCTAAAGCCRTTTTAATTCACAGGCAGAGCAGTCTTTCCTATCTTCCTGTCACTCTCACTAGAGATTTYACGCTATGCCACTAGACTGTGCAAAGAGAAAAAACACAGGCCTTGTGGCACAGATCTTACTGGCTTAAGAGAAATCAAGATACTGGCCCTTGCATCAAGGGAAAGCAAGGTAGGACTCACACTATCCAGGGGCATCAAGGTGTTCCGGAAAAAAGGCTGCATGACAACTGCGAAGTCCTCCCTCTGTTCGTACCGACCGCTGTTGATCAGCCCCAAGGCTTCAGCCTGGACAGAGCRTAATCAGTGAAAACAGAAGAGTTACTTGCAAGGCTCATCTAACATTTGTCAGCTATCAAAAACATGCAGATTACACATCTTTCATTGTAGGAAGCCATAAATTGTTGGTGTAAATCYGGCTAAATGTTATAAAGCAGTCAAGAAAATGGCTAAGAAAAGAATTTAGTTCGTGAAGAGATTTTCGTGAGGAAAATGCACAGAAGCTGGGTTAATTCAAACAAAAATGAAAATACAAACAATATTAAAAGTTGCCTAATAATAATAAAAAAAGTCTTTATAAAAGAAGTAATTCAAACCTTGCTTTTAAAAACCAAAGCTGCGCAACAACAATGAGATTAAAGTTTACAGAAAATGATAAAAAAGGAACAAGGCCAACATTTTTAGAAGTGACAAATAAGTCTCAAATGCCAACTTGAGGCTGAAATGCACTCGATTTTTCAGAAAGGTGTGCTTGAATTAAAATAAAACTTACATATTGAAAAATTACCTGCCACTTAAAAAAATTATGGCCRCAGACATTCATACAAATAAAAACCCCATCTCATTGTAACTTGCTGTCTTATGGGTATAAATGCTAATGCTCATGGTCATGTCTCAAAACATTCCAAAACCCACATCCTTTGTTAAGGAGAAGGACRCCTCTAGTAGGCTTAAACAAGTATTACCCAGGGTGAATTTCTTGAGCTTTGCCAGATTCATTGGACAACAGCCACTGCCAGAGCCAGAATGGAGAACATAATGTGATCTGATACAGTGATTCCTGTATTCATAAGAACATTGATGGAAAAAGCTTCTGCTCCAATAGCTAATTACAGCCTCTGTTAATTTTGAGTGAATCTTATGCCTGAGGCTATGAAAAGTTACTCTCAGATAGCAAGCTGGTTGATGGTTGGTTTAGTCAATTTTTTCTGCTAAGAGTAACCACAAAACAGCTGATGCAAAGTCATTTGTCACTCTTGCAGTGATGTATTAATTCATGTAAGCTGCTCATTGGGGTCATAGCAGACAAACACATATCAACAGAGGAGCCATCACTGTTAACTCCTTTTTGGTTATTGAAACAGCARTTGGAAACAGAACTGGTCTCCATCTACATCCACCTCAGAACTGAGGTCAAATCATAAGAAAATGTGGAAAGACTTGCTCTGCTATTAACTGGTTAGATGGGTAGGGTTTTGRTTAGGCTGTGGCCAAGTTGTTTTCCATTTATCCCTCTCTGTAGTGCTGAGGATATGCATGAGAGGAAGGGCAGTGAGGGAAGAAATATAAAGAGACACAAGTGAAGATGACCAATTATGGAATCAATGTATTACCTGAAAGTCTCTGTTGACTCTCTTAATTTCTTGAAATTCAGGAGAATTTTCCTCTGGGTTTAAGAAACACGGGCAAACTTTCCTTCAACAAAAGAAATAGTACAATTAAAAGCCAATCTAGAATAGTCTATTCACAGTCTTTCAGCAGAGCATGTCTGGTTCAAGAAGCTGCAGATAGGTGATCAAAGCTTACTTGCAGAATGGAGAGCCACCTTGTTGACTTAGAAATGGACAGTTACTTCAGAAAAAAAAAAAATCTCTACTGACTTACTTTTCAAAATGAACACCTGTCACAGCCAGRAAAGGATCCACTACTCTTGGGTCAAACACAAAAAAGTGTTTAGCCTGCCACAAATTAGCAGGAAATCACATGTGTTAGAATAATAAGACATGAATAGGGTTGCARCAGATTTTCAAACACCTGGGAGTTTAAAGTTAGAAAAGAAAAAATTTTCCGGCAGTCTGAATCCTTGCACTACTCTGTTTTATTATGTTACCTTCATAACAAGAGGCAGTAACTTTGCTTCAATGAAATTCATCTTCTAAGAATGTGCTTGGAATGCATAGGAAGACATCAGGCAAGRTAGTAAATTCATTATTTTCCCTTCCAATGTGTTCCTGTAGTTAATCACTTGTATTATTAAAAAGCTGTGCCTTACTTAATTTGAATTCATTTGGCATTGTCTTCCAACTACTAGTCTTCATTATACCTTTCTCTGCAAGACTAACAGCCTTTTATGTTCATTCTGATGCCTTTAAAGACACTGCTGCTTTCTAAAACAAATCCCTCAACCTTCGAGTTAAGATTTTGGTCTCCTTCATTAGGGTGTCAGGAGCAGTTCCTGGCTGTGYACTCTGCTGCACACAGCCCAGCCTGCACCAGAGGTAATGCAGCACTGGATACAAAGAGAGGAACCAGAGATGTCAGCCTGTGCTGCTGACCAGAAGATGGCTGAGCAAAAAAAGTTCAGCAGTATAACAATCAGATGTTGTGATTTGTGCTGTGTCATGCTGCCTTAAAGTCTTTTAGCCGAAGGACTGGGAGAAGTAACAGAAAGTTGATGAGAATCAATGCATCAGGTAAAGGTGGCAAGGCAAATAGCTTGGAAAGCTCCGTGTGGATGTCCTCCTGTAGGAATTAAGACTGAGCCAAAGAAATGTCACTTTAAAGGCAAAGAGTTGTTTTGCTCACTTACTTTGCTGTCAAAGCACACTCTGAAGAGCTTGCTGTGATTTGACGCAGTCCAGAGAACTCTAGCATCTCCACCATGTTGATAAAGACTCTTGGGAGCTACAAGGATTATAATAACCAGACATACAGACATGTTACAAATAACAGAACATGATACCACTACAAAGAGCAAGAAGTGCCATCYGTAGGTCAGGGAGTCACTGCAAACTGCACCAACTGCAGCCAATGGCATGTGCAAGGATGATGTATAAAAGGAGGGGGAGGGAGACATAGTGGATGTCAGCCAAAAAAAATTCCAACAGCTAGTACAAACTAGCTGAAATGCTGCTTCACTCCTGGGGGCATTTCCATTTGCACCAGGGTAAATGAAACTGTGTGTGGTTGTTTAGCCACCAAAACTGGCTGTAGGGTCATGGTATGTTTGGTTTACAGCATATATATATATTGTGAAACACACAGTTTTCCTGAAACTGCAGCCCTCTTTCTCAGAGCATTAGCTAATACAGTTGTTTAAATGCAGCACTGAGGAACAGCCTGACTCCCACTATTTGAAAGATGACCTTGTATGAAACATAATCACTGACAGTCTATCAGAGGTGAGAAAAACATCAGTGTGCTTGCCAGGAACATAGCTTGCTAGGGTGTCTTAAAAGCTTACCTCCTCATAGAAAATATCCAGAGTGTCCTGAAGGTGCTTTACATACTTTTGCACAGAATAGGTTTCCTGTTTAAAAAAACAAMAAARAAAAAYTGGATCAGTCTTTTWCAGGAAMCAAGAAGGTGGTCTGTGAGAAAATACACCGACTTGATGCTCCTTTTTTCTTTAGTTGGCAGATACATTTCCAGATCAAGAAGTTCACTGGCACTTGTTCAGAGATTATACAGTGCTTGTGTTTTTATATCATTAATATATTCCCCTAATCTCTGTAGAAAATCCTGAGGTATCCTGGCAGAGTCTTTCCCTGATAATGACTATATAGATCACATTTTCGGATTTCAGGTTGTTTGGTAGGGGACCCAGACCAGACTGGTATGCCTTATGAACAGAACAGTATCTTTTTTAACCTGCTAGTCTGGAGTAACTGATGAGAAGGCAGTCAGACCCCACAAAGCCCACAAGCAGAACAACTTTGTGCCTGTAGTTATACAGATGTAGCTGTGAAAACAAAGGCTCCAGGGAGCAGTCTGTAAAGGAAAGAGCAAAACAGACAACAATGCCCAGTCATTTCGACAAGCTGGGGCCCAGACCCCCAGTCTGTGCCACATGAAGTTTCTCAGAGGGAATGATCACTTGCAGCTAAAGAAAAGACATGTTTTTTACTGTAAATGGATGGAATTATTTTGGGTGTCATTCTGAAGCAAGAATTGGGCATCCTCAGTAATTATTGTGTGGAGGTGATTTCCAGAAGAAACTTGTGTCCCATAACATGCCTAAGCCACCATGCTCATTGCTTTGTCCTGTTAAGCAGGGATAGCTCTTCAGCTTAATTTTGGTGTTTTGTTCGATATGGGCAGGTTTCTAATTCTTAAATAATGCATTTCTCCAGAGCTGCAGTGCCCGTATTAAAAGCTGTGTGCTTGTTTCTGTTACAATACAGATGAAAAGAGCAGGACGTCTAAGTGCTTTTAAACAAAGAGGAACTTTGGCTGCCTAAGAAAGAGAAAGATTTTATTTCCAGGGCTGGTCACCTGCCAAATGCCTGGATGAGAATGCCGAATTCAGAGATACAAACCTTGTCCAAGCAGTACTGGCATAGGTCTCTGCCTCCAACAAGGACAGTGATCAGCTTCCAGTCTTCCTTGAAGTTAATTTTCTAGTGGTACATAAAATAAACAGATTGCAGCATCCATTGCTCAGGCATGCAGATGTAACACTCACAAATGGGGCTAAATGGGGCACAGACAGTAGGGCAGAACAAAGGAGGCATGCTGAGTTAAGCTGGCAAAAGAAAAGCATTTCTCCAGGGGGAAAATCTGAACTGTTTGCTAGTCTGCTGCAATCCACCTTGGCTCCTGTAAGGAAATTCCCTTCAGCAGACAAGCTCTGTCAGGGTAACCAAGCATGGAAATGTGTCTGTGGCAGCAAGCATCCCTAAATGAATGTCAGCTTCAGAACAGAGATGGACAGGAGAGATTTGCCAGCCATGGCTGCACACTGCAGGCAGCGTGGGGATAAAGTTGTGTGGGAGTGGAGGCTGCACTGACTCATGAAGCCGTGGAACTGGAGCTGCTGGGGATCCCTGCCAGCTGGGCAAGCATTACCCCGTGGCCAGGAGGGGCGAGGGGTGCCCCAGGGAACAGACAGCTGGGTTAAAATAGAAGAGTCCAGGAGGCTGGTGACTTCACTGAGCTCATATAAGGGCAGCTGCAGCACCCACGTCACCACAAGCTAACAATAGSCGCTGCTGAGAGCTGGATCTCATCAAAACATTTTGTAACATTCAGTACAAAGAAAGGAATCAAAGGCAACTATTTTTAGTGTGGTGCATTTACATAACAAACATCTGCGAAAGGATCCCACAAATAGASGGAGGGCCTGGGAATCACCCACAGGTCTGAATTCTCCTATTTAACCAACAATTTGCTTGGAAAGATTTTCATGAAGAGGCGATGCTATGGCAGGGACACACCGCCTCCCTTTTTTAAAAAAATGCATAAAAAGCTGTGAATAAAACAAAGCTCGAGAGCCTCTCCTCTTCTCTCCTATTGAAAAACCATGCCAGCTCCCTTCACTCTGCCAAACAATTGGCAATGCAGAGTAACTGACAGTGGGGTGAGCATGCAGCATCCATCAAGAGTTCTGGCATGGAGAGACACATGCTTTGACAAATCCTGCTTATTCAGTGCCTTCCTTTCCCATTCAGTCTGAGCCAAGGAGCACCAGGCACTCCCATTCCCTTAGAGGGAATGCTCTCCCTGAACCAACAGCTCACACCCAGACAGTCATCCACTCAAATTCAGCCAGCACTCGGAGCAGGGCAGCTTTGGGTTTCTCACAGATCTCTTCCCCTCCCCACTTTTGGTGCTCTTTGTAGCACACTCAGTGGACTTGGCACAGCAGACCAGATCCCCTACTAATTCTCTAAAAGACTGGTGTGACAGGGATTCATCCAGTCCTGAGCTTTCTGGTCCCTGATTAATTATTTGCCTGTTCAAAACCAGAATTTGAGAGGGCTTTTTCTACCGCAAAGATTTCAGCATTCTCTGTTCCTGCAATTGGGATTCATGTTTGTCTGCAGGTACCTGCTCCAGCAATTTTACACTCAGTCTTTATGACCTTCACTTTGTCACAGCTGCTCAGCTAAGCAATGCTGTGATCTCACCAGAGCCTTCAGATTTCTCGTCTTCCTCACTGCCATCCTTACATCTGGCTGCACTGCATCCTACCTGAGGGGTAATTAATCTGGCACATTTGTCTTAAAGCACAGCAGAGACAAGGACGTTTCTTTCATCAGTAGAACACTCTTCTTGACTCAAACATCCCATTAATTAAAGTCATCTCCCAGAGACCATGGGAGCACTGGGGGGTGCCCCAAATCCCACTTACCGAGCTGCTTCTCATCAGCTCCACCAGTGCACGTGCTTGGGCTGGCATATCACTAGGAGAGAGAACAGAAGATTTTAGATGTGTGCTCTAAAAGCATGTCACCCTCTTGATCTCCCCCTCCTCATTTCACGGGATCTTAGGATTAGCAGAAATCAGTATAAGGAAAGTGATGCCTCAAAAGGCTGAGCAAAYTCTGCAGGACCAAGTTGCACAAGTGAATCTGATCTGAAAAGGYTTCAGCTGGGATGGCTGCCAAGTGGCAGACAATTGGTATGAGTTCTTCCCATCTCAGAGTYGGCTTAAGTGTATTTTGTTTGGAAAAACTCACTAATGCCCAGATGCACAGAGACACTGAGTTGCATAACYCCCTTCAAAAACCTAGTGAGTGAGTTTGGTGCTGACATAGAAGCTGGGCACCTAACCAGCCTTCCTGATCTGGCCTTAAATTCCTATGGCTTGTCTTATAGCTGGAAGATGCTGCTTACATTGTGGGACTGCCAGGCTGGAGAGCACCAGTCCAGCTCTGGACAGGATGCAACATCCACGGGCCAAAGCACAAACCATGCTGAGACACCAGCTGGAAATGAGCTCCTGATATATTAGAATAAGACTGTGCTTGAGCTAATAAGCCCTGCCTCCCTCCAGCAACTGCACAAATGCAGTTACATTATYTGGATTCCCAGAACCACATTGATCACGCTGAATCAGCTTTGCTTGGGGCACCTATGAAATACATATAGTAGCATACAGGCTTTGATAGTTATCCTAAATCTCTCTTGCAGCAGATTTAATGGTTGTTAAAGGTGTCACAAAAAGCTTTGGAAACAAATTTTTTGGGTATTCATGGAGCAGGCACAGCTTAAGCCATACAAGTTCTTACACATTTTGGTTCTTAACAGAGTAGYAGATTTTTCCTTCAGGAGGAAAAAGGAGTTATTTCCCAGCTGCTCAATTTTTTCTCTTTTCACTGCATACAGGGATGGTTTTTAATGCCATTAGGTAGCAGTCTGCTTCTATTTGTTAATTTGAGGCAMCTATTCATTAGTTTATAGAAATCAAGGAATAAAAGAGATACTTATGAATTTTTTCTCATTACAGATATTGCCTGATAGTGAATTAGGGACCTGCATACTGAAGGCTGGACAGAAAAAGGTACTGGTTGAATAAGAAGCATAACTATGGTATTGGCTCAAAAATTATGGGCAGAAATCAAATAAAGAAAGGAAGCTTGTAATATAGAAAAAGATAACAAATAAATCCCCCAAATACTGAATTGAATAAAAGAAATAAAAACCCAAAACTCACAATCAAAAACCTCAGATCACAGAAAAGTGCTGAGTACCAGCAGGTCATCAGCATTACCCCAACCCTGCATCCCAAAGGTAACCTGCCAGTCCATCACTTCTCATTCCTTTGCCCTTTCTCGTTTGTGATTGTCCTTACCGTGCTGTGGCATTTCTCTCTGCAACGTTGAATCCAGCTGTTTCCTTAGAACTGCCGGTGGAGAAGCCAAAGAGGTTTGGATTGAATTTCTTCAAGATGTCTTAAAAAGRAAAACCACAGTGTTTAACCATTCACAGCAGAACCAGCAGCATCACCTCCTGCAATTGAGTGTGAGAATATGGACCACTCCATGTGGTGGAATACGTTCTCCCCTCATTCGCTACGACTTTGCAGAAGCTAGAGACACACCAGCTTTGAAGACTCTAGTTACTGTCCAGATTTCATCACTGCAATAATTTCTCTCCATGGGCCTGAGGAGTCAGGGCCTGGTGGCCCAGGAAATGCATAGGTTGTTCTCAGGAAAATGACCAGTCTTAAATTTAAGTGTCAAAGTATTCATGGTTGCTTTCATTCATGTACCAGGAGCAGGTGCCCTGAGTATAGCCCTCTACCTCTCACTCCTCCAGCCAGATAATAATACTTTGGCAGAGAAGTGAATTTCCTTAATTTTTCTAGATTTCGTTGAAACCTTCAATGGGGAAGCATGATGTCTGMTAACTGTTATTGTTACTGTGTCTGTAGTGCAGTCTGAAACCTCTTTATAGAATCTAATTTATAATGCATAAATGAATGATGCCTTCTATATTTCTTCAAAGGCAGTGATAAGCCTGGTACAAGGCAAAGCACATYGGATTTTATTACTAACAATGTCAGGTATTGTCAAACTGCTCCATAGCATGGATCAYATACAAATAGATCAACCATTGTAAATCAAGTCCTTTCCAATTTATTGTCACRCTGACCACTTAGTGGTTTCTATGGCAACTACAGGGCCCAATTACACTAGGGCAAAAAAATCCCAGTATTTTTAGATATGTTTTTTCACTGCTGTGTAGCAACTTGAAAYCATCAGGAAGAACCATAGCTTTGTCAACAACCCTGGCCAGACAAACTGATAATTGTTTCATAACCCTTTATTTGTCCACAGACAGTTACAGTCAGTCACTAGAAAGCACAAWACAAAATAAAGGAGGAGCAAAACTAGTCAGTCACTAGAAAGCACAAAAYAAAATAAGGGAGGAACTTCTGTCCCCTTCAGCACATTTACTCCTAATTCTTTTTGTCAAAAGGATGATACAATCACATGCAGGTCCTGTGATGTCGAGGGGCTGAATTAACTTTACAGCTAAATCAGGTCAGTCTGGATTTCTGCTGTGACTCACATTAACTGCTCATATCCACAACAGATGGACAGCCCCACTGTTTGCAAGGAAAGAATGACCATTTCCAGATGTTTCTTAGCATCCACTTTAACGACTTTCAGTGTAATAYGCAACTTCTGCTTTTCTAAGATACTCACTGGGTAAAGTAGCCTGGATCTCCAGAGTCTCATCACCTCCAATACTACAAAGRAAAAGAACAAAATCACCCAGTAGGGTTAATCCTGCAGCCATCTGTCTTATTGTTGCTATTTGCTGTTGTAGCAGCCCAAGAAGGAAAGCAACCCTCCTACAAAATACTTACTTCAAACAGGACTAAGGAGATAAACCACAGGAATTCAGGGAAAGTAATGAAAGGATAACTCACCCTAAATAAAGCAGGGCATCAGCTAAGATAGAAGCTATGCCTTCAGGCTGGGAACAGACCATATTGGGAGAACTAATTTTTCATACATGCTGGGATACCGATCATAGAAAGGCATATTTCCTCACTAAAGTTGCTCCATGTTACCTTGCTGAGATTACATTTATGCACTGTTATGTATTAAATATTCATTAAATACCTATTTGCAATTCTGCARTGCTGAATATGAAAAGAGCCCCTGCCTCTACCATTCAAAATTTGTCTGTGTGCAGAGCCAATACACTCTTACACTCTTCTGGCAGCCCCTCCTGAAAATATCCACTCCTGCAGACACAYGCAGAGGGATGCACAAAGAGCAAAGAGAATGATGGGTATGTGTGCACACACTTCACAATCATACATCTGCTCTCAGGGAGCAAGCAGTTTTCTTCCTCTCTAGCATGGATATTGAGCTTCACACCCTCTGATGTGCACTGTTTGCCCACTTTGAAATAACAAAGGTGATTGGAGCATTTTCACTGAGTATGCGTGCAGTGCTCTCACCATGCTCATGCCAATGCACACTCACTTAGACCTTCCAGCATTAGACACTGTAAGAGGTAATCACAGCAACAGCCACATTTTGAATAAATTCCAGAGAGACTACAAAAAGGCTAAAAGGTACTGGGACACATGACCACCTTGTAGCATTCAGGTCTGATTAACACACACACACACACACACACACACACACACACACACACACACAAAAACCCCAAAAATCAAACTAAACAACCAAACAAAAAATAAACACTCCTCCATTTCTTGCCAAGCAATACTTGCTGTCAGCATCCTTCCCTGAATTTACTTACATAAAGATGTAGCTACACAACCAGGTGGCCCACACTTTTAACTGTGCGGACAAAAATAGAGAAAGAAAAAAATTTCGTTCACCTCCAGGAAAGTCCCATCCAGTCTGTTTGTAGGTCAGGTACTTTGGCTCCTACTGCAGTCTGGAAAAGATGGAAATAACAACTGATAGAATACTAAGAGAGAAAAAAAAAAGCCTTACAAATTTAGGTAAGATAGACATCATGTTTTGAAAGATCTCAAGCATTCTAGTAACATTACTCTGCATCCAGCCAAGCTTTTGCAATATCCCAGTTTTAGCATAAATGGTCTATGTCCTTATCCACCCCCACATGCCGGTCTGTGGGCAGCCCTGCATCTCCCATATTTCAATTWTCTGGGCTTCTCCTCATATGCAAAAGCAGCTCATCTGGACAGMAGACAATGGAGCATCAGAGGAGATGTAGTCCAGCCAGAGGACATCAGAGTSTCCTTATGTCAAGTCATAATAAAACTTTAAAGTTACTACTCRTACTGTTTTAGCAACCCAATGGGACCCAGATTAACATCAGGAGATTTGTATTTGTTTGGAATTTTTTTTTTTTGATGGAAGATGCTTCATCCTGGTATTTCTTGAAGAAAGATGATTTTGAGAGACTTAATAATCCAGGGGAAAAAATAGCCCCAAACAGTGATGAAAAAATTCTCATCYAGTTTTAGCTGTACATAAATCAGAGGAGCTGCTTTTTAAACTGCCAAGAAAACAAATCTTTGGTGTACAATCCATTTTTCCTCTCCTGGATCCAGTCTGCTAGTCTAACACACAGATTTGATGAGGTGTAGASAGGATTTTTTTTGTCAGTATAGATAAGCATGCTGGTGTATCTAGTGTTTTCACTGTGCGTTGGTGCTAAGAAGGCCAACACATGAATTCTAACCAGTGACATGACTAAATTACTCAATGTTCCATTAATCTCTGACTGTATCTAGACTGAGACAGCCTTCCTTCCYGCACTGTGAACTTTAATATCCTTCAAAATTAAATAAATATGCAAAGCCAACCAAACAAAGACCTTTGTGATGAATTTGAGTAGCTCACAAGACAGGGACAGACCTCTAGCAAGGTCAGCACCCTGGCTTGCATTCAGCATAGCCACTGGTAGAAGGTGTTTTTCTGCAGCTTTACAGTTTTTTAGTGGTCTAAAGAACTAAAAATTCATAAACACTGCATCCATAAACACTGACAGCATTCCAGGATTTTGTGGGAAGTACCAGGAGGACAATCAATGCTTTGGTGGGCTTTGCTGCTGCAGTGCCCCTGTGCCAAGGATGGTGATGCCGTAAAAAGCGTGGCTGCTGCAGGAGGTGTATATGCACACATGGGGAAAATTACCCATTTTTCTGAGCCCCCCAAATAAATCACTCAATAAAACCCCCAAACACACCTTGCTGTGGCAAAGGCAACTGGTAGGAACTGCATGAATAATGGCAATATGAGAAACTGCCTTTATCGGCTCTTGTGACAGAACTCAAYGACCATAATCTGGCCCTTATGACTAGAGCCCTCTGAGATATTTCATGGATTAAAAGAATGAAGATTTTAAAAATAGGAGCTATGTGCTAGTGTACTAGTGTATCTAGCATTAGATGTGGGGGAGAAAATTAAGCAAATAATTTTAAGGGTCATGGAAATGGATAGGAGGGAGACTCAGAGGGTCTTTACCGATTTCTTCTAAGAAAAGCTCAAAGCTTTGCAGCACCAGGGAAAACCAGGATTACATCAGGTCAAGCAAAATCCATTTCAGAGCTAATGAGGAGGTGCATGATGCATAATGAAGACATGCATACCTGCCTGTAAGACAAGCCTGCTCATTTAAGGGCTTCAGACCCTTCAAGTGCCTCTGAACTCAACAGGRACAAAAGCTGCTAGAATGAGCACTGGTTTAGTTCAGGAGTTAAAATTCATGGGAACTGTTGACACAAATGTTTGCTTTCATTCCATGCCAGAACAATTCTGTAGAGCTGTGTAATTCTAGAACATTTTCTCAGAAAACTTCAGTGCAGATCTGCAGTAGCAGTATTCCCTCCTATTCTTCTCTGGGGCCTTTTTTTTTTGTGCCAACTTTTTTGGTTTTTTCATCTACATTTCTTGGTATTTGAAATATATCAGAGTTTTAACTGGAAAACRTCTAACCCAGAAAGCAACATCTGAAAGCAAAATTCTGGAATACAGAAGTATCAGAATTATCTGAAGTGGGAAGCATTTCATASTGCAATCAATTATTTCCAGGGGAGYTTTCAGCAAAATGTCTTATTGCATCAAAAATATCGACAGCTTTTACTTTTTTTTCATGTCAGAAGAGACTATTTCTATAAGACAGCCATTTCCCTTTTTGAAAACACTTGAATAAACTGTATGCAGCAGAGAATGGGATCCTGTTTCTGTCCTGGCCTGAATTATTCATYGCTGGATTACACAATTGCCAGTGTCACTCATATCCCTTCAGGCTATTTCTTTGCAAAGGGAACCAGGTAGATGAGTTTTGCTTTGCCAAGCCAAAGCAATTTGCTTTCTATCTGATGATGCCTGACGTGACAACATCTAGGTAGAAATCAACAACTGCTCTTCTTCTAAACATGGGAATACAGCAGCACTCACAGTCAGGGAATCTCCCAGCGCTCCTACGACTTTGATGTCAGCAGGCCGTAGCTCATGTACTAAAAACAGCAGGAGAATAAAAGCAGGATTAGTGACAATGGGCAAAATGTTGTTTGACAGAATAAACATGCAAGTCTTAGGCTCCCATCTGATGGCATTTTTGCAGAATTTGAGGTAGAAAAACCTCAAATTCTGTGTGTCAGCTAGGCAAAAGGCATGACTTCTTGCCTTTGCTTACAGCAATGTACTCAACTATACAGAAAGAAATGGAACTTAAAACAGCTTAGKTAAAAAGTGGAAACGGCCTAGATATGTTTACAGATCCTTACACACAATCTCTTTTAATTGGCTTACAGGTTTGGGTCATAGATCAATGTTTCCTATTAAAAATCTTCCTGTAAAGCCTTCTAAGTACACACAGCACTTGCACTGCACTGCTTACCAGAGTAGGTTCCAGCTTGCAAAGTCACTAACCCTCCCGGGCAATTTTAATCTGCCATGTTGCTGTATGATAAATGAGGCATATGATACATGCATATGATAAATAYGACCACGTTTATCCACAGAGAGCACATCTGCTGCCATGCAGAAYTTACTGTGAATGGCAAGACAGACTTTTCCCCTTTGCTGCAAAATATATCAGCTTTCATTGCTTACTTTCCAACTAGGATGTGTAATTCCAACATCTTACTGTTTTTAGAAACAAAAGATGAACTTTTTCCTATGTGTGATTTTAGTTTAGGTGTTCTTTCTCACCTGAATTTGGGACACGACTAGATGGAGTATGTCCAGGACACGACAGTTCACTGCCCCAATTCTGAAATGAGAAGTTACAAAATTGTTTCATCTTTTAGTTAAAAGATAATGTACAATTTATATATGGTTTAGTCATGCCTTCACCTTTAGTGAAGGGCAAAACCAAGTTAAAACACAGATCCTAGTTTGTGCCTATGTAGCTCAACCGTCTTTCACTCCTCTTTGTGGAATACTATCCAAACAATAATTACTTYTGGTGACATTTTCTAGCCAAAGCATTAAACTTTTCCAAAGGCAAAACATTTCATCTTCAAATACTGCTTATGACAAAGTGCCATAAGGAAGATTATTTTTAACTTCTCTACAGTCGAGAAATTTTGTCCATGGCTTATAAGGTGCGGTCTCCAGGTTTGAAGTCTTGCTCTTTCTCAATAGATATCAGATGCAAAAACAAATAAAAATAACAATAAAATCCCCTGCAAAGTTAGTTATAATGTTATATTAATGTATTATATTATTATTGTATTATTATATTAGCTGGTGAAAGGTCTGAACGTAAGTGCTATGAGGAGTAGCCAAGGGAACTGGGGGTGTTYAGTCTGGAGAAAAGGAGGCTCAAGGGTGACCTTATCATCCTTGAGATGGGAGTCAGCCTCTTCTCCTAGGCAACTAATGAAGGAGCAAGGGGAAATGGACTCCAGTAGCACCAGGGAAGGTTCAGATTGGATATCAGAAAAAATTTCTTCACTGAAAGAGTGGTCAAGCACTAGAACAACCTTAAATACTCTACTATTATATTATCATTCCCCATCTACCCTGCTACATGTAACCTATTCTTTCCTAGAATCTTTCAAAAAGGGCTTGTTTTTCCCGAATATAAAGTTTGAAACAACTTCAAAGCTTTAAAATTTCCGGTGAAGAAAAGTGTCAGGCTCTAAATAATTGTACTTTAACATGTATCTTTAGGTGACATAATAGTTATTAGGTATACTCCAGCTGAAGAATTTGAATGAAGCACACATTTGCAGAACACCTTAGTTCATCAGCAGAGAGAGCTGATGAATGTCCCCCTGCTGCTTTTTGGTGATGAGCAACCATACTAGCCAAAAGTCAGCCAGGGAAAAACTACAATTGTTTCAGTGGTCAGCCCATTGCAAGAGCAATGATAGCTGTACACACCAATCTAAGGGCCAGCCCTGCTGGAAGCAGGAGGTCAGACTAAGGACATCATGAGGTCCCTTCCATCTCAATTGTTCTGTGATTGCACAGTTCTACCATAGAAAAACTCTATGGATCAGTGGTCTTTGGAAAGCATGGTTGCTGTTAAAAAAAATCACACCAAATTAATCTATTCTTGTGAAAAAAAAATGTTGTAATAGGCTGCACTATCAACCATTAAAGTCTGGTTGCAGATGGACTTCTTTTTAAATCAGAGAAGAAAGCATTGCTTTACCCTCTCTCCTCTGTCACTTCAACAGTTGATGATGCTGAGATTCAGTGGAAGTCCAATAATTACCTATTGAAAGTATAACTCTAGGTCTACAGATAAAAATCCCATYTCAATGCTGCAAATTTGTGGCTTGCTAAGACAATAACTGCTGTTCTTTGTAACCCTCAAGGCACAGAGACTTTGTTAATTGGGCCAGCCATGAGCACCCCCAGTGTGTCAAAYTAACCCAGCCCATTTTCACTGCCAAGCAAACAGCTGCTCCATTTCTTCAAGTCCTGCATGCAATGTTTGTTGAACCTACCTCATGATAGTTTCTCAGTCATGGTGGAAATTAAGTCCCTTTGAAAATTCCTATCACCTTTGTATARGGTCACACATCCAATATGTAAAGGTGACTGCCCTCTACAGGTTAAGCTTACTTGAGTGTAAGGAGGTACTGCCTCCAGAATAGAATAAATAAATCTTCATCAGATTATTTGGGGGTCAGGGTTCTAAAATAACTTCTCCATACTGTGAGGAACTTGTTATCTTAATTTCTTATGCATTCTAGGTTACTTACYTTTGGTTACAGTATTGATGCACTTGCACCAATAATATCATTAATATTGTTTGGCTTTCAGGAAAACATATGTTTACACTGGGAAAAGTGGAATGCAAGGTAGAATTCTCTTTCCAAAAGTTGGCAGTAGTTTATATAATCTATAAATTCAGGATGATGTTCTAAAAGACCAGTTGGAGCTTTGCACAGTTTGCTTAAAATGCAGGAAAAGGTGCAACAATTACCTCTATTGGCTCTCTAGTGGGYTCCACAGGTGTGTAGTTGCTATTCTTGTATGTTCCCAGGAATGGACTGTTCTGGAGAGAGAGGAAACAAAAGAAAGATAAATAAGAGAAACTAGGCAATAAGCATAGGGCACAAACCACAGCAAGCGATATCTAGGTATCATATCACCAAGAAAGTAATTGCCTAAGCTGTAAAATGGGAATCTTTACTTTGAAACCATGATCCTTCCCTAAAATGCATAAAATTTGTGTATAGAACCTTATGATAAAAAYAACATGATACCAGGTGCCAGATGCCAATTGCAGTTTAAGATTTTCCTCTCCCGATGTTCCAAATYAGATTTTATTAGATGTTTAGTCCTTTCAAAAGACAATGATGCAAAAATCAAGACAAACCTGGGCAGCAGGCAGATGAAAAATTGCTTACTGAAAATACCATTCTTCCCTACAAGGGAGGCCGTAGAAATTGCATAGTTACTTTTGTCACCTAGTAATGCAGCCTGCATTCAGGAACAAGCGCAAGCAGGCTAAAAAATTTGAACTGATGCCCACTTACCTCAATTAAGAGAAATTCCAGCATCTGCATAAGGAAGTCTTAAAAAGCACTAAAATTAGAAGGCAGGCTTTTATTATACTTTAAGTTGCCTCAAAACCAATAATTTTCCATGGGTACTGTGACTGCTATCACTGACSTTTTCAAAGCACTTAGGCTTACTAAAGGCTTACCATTTGTGTAAAAGATGGCCATATATATTTTCAAGGGATATAAAACTTTGCCTACTTCTGAAAAGCAACATCTTTGAGTAAGAGTAATGAAGAGAAACAATTATAAAATCCACACTGTTTGGCACTGAAGAAGTTGCTGACTTAATATAAGCTGCTTGGAAGGAATACTGGGTAAATGAAGTAGGATCAATTTGAATGAATCTGAGGACTTCTGAAATGTGCTGGTTACTCCGCAGATTTTCCTTCTCTGACAGCATGGATGCAATACATACAAAAGCCTCGTGTATAACTTAAATGCCKGTCTCCAGAACTAGGAGCACTCAGAACTAAGCTCCCTGATCTGTTCARTACTTCAGCCTTCTTGTTGAAAACTGCAGAAGAAAGGGAGCCAATTACTGCTGCCTGCAGYGGTCATTTCCATGTGCTGGTACCTAGCAACTGTACTGCAAGTTCAGCAGCTTGTTTTGTAACTGCAGAAGCAGCTTCTAAAGAGTCTGAAGTATCCCTGTTATGGATCAGGCYAGGAAAACCAACCTGCTGCTAATTCAAGAGACAGCAGATTCTGGGTTTTCAAAGCTGCTGTGGTGCCCAAACCCCATTGATTCTGACAGGAAAGTAAATGCAGCACATTCTGTTGYTTGCTGCTTGAGCTGCCTCTGAACTTCAACAACAAACAACCTCTGTACTTCAACAACAAACAACTTCAACAAAAAACAACCTCTGCTACAACTGAAAACACACAAATCAGCATGTTGCCAATCAGTATTCATGGCACAGCAAAATGACCGCAGGACACCAGCACAGGTACATGAGAACCCCTGTTCACTCACAGCTAAGCAGAGAGCAAAGCTTTAAGTAGAATTGTTCCAGGTACACCAAACCCCTGCTCTCTGCAGCAAGCACAAGCAGCACAGCCTCCCGAYAGCCAGCTTCCAAAATGTGGGTATATTTACCTGAGCTGGACAGCCAAGGATGATGTCAGCCGAGAAATCAAATGAGTCAGCTTTCTGGCCTACAGGCTGTAACTAGAAACAAAGACAAAAGAGCCTATTTTTTAACCATGTCAGCTCATCTTAAATTTGTGTAACAATTCTGATTGAAAAAAACCCAACCTAAATATACCTTTCAAATCTATATTATGCTGCCTGTATTTGCAGACCTTGACTTACAGCCAAGGCTGAAATGCATCTACTTCTCAGGAAGAACATGGCAAMTGCAAAACAAAAGAGCAACTCTAGAAAGAAGCTTAAAATGGGAAGTGGAAAGCTACAGTGGATCAGTTTAAACTCCTGGAGGATTTTGGCAGGCACATGAAGTCCCTTGGAATTTCGCCAGAAGGCAAGGTCRTAAACTTTCTTCTCTTGCATAAAAGACATTAAGAGTCCCTCATTTTTTTRTAGCTAAGCTGCATGATGGCATCTCCAACAAAAGGCTGTTTATATGTAGAAGATAATACCAAATCTAATTAGAGGTTCTGCTTGATGATTGCAAGCAATCATGTCAGCTGTTAAAATATTACCCTGAAGTATATGGAAGTTTAAGATCCAAGATATTGACTCTGACTGCTGGGTAGTGCTCCTGCACTGYAATGCTAAGTAAAATGGGTTTGCTTAAGCAATCTTTAATGACTCATTTTTATTGAGCTTAACTCATTTCCAAAAGCAGTAAAACTGAACAGAATTAAAGCCACTTCAACTCCTAATGAGACAGTAACAACACACGGACTTAAAACAAACTTCTAAGTAATCCATTTTAAATTGACGGATGCAGTTACAATTCTTTATTTGGTGGTTTTCCATAGCAGCCGATAGAAACATCATCCTCATGAAATGTTTTCCTGCCTTGCATGAAAATGGATGAAGAAGCTGCTTGGCTGAAGTCACCCAATGACTGTCACTGTGCACTTGAGGCATCCCTCTCCTTGACACACACTCTGAGAAACAAGAGATTCTAGGCAGAGAGCAGTGCCAAAGCCAGACTGCATTTAACCAGTTAAGGAGATGGGTCCAGCACAGGTCCAGCATTTTCCAGGCCTTAATAGCAGTGCTCATTATAGAGATCATTTTAATAGTAGCCAGGTCAAGGTGAAGATCTCATTATATGCAGAGCTTGTCACCTTACCATAGCATTCCAGAGAGCCCTGGCAAGCTGAGAATGGCCTTTCTGGTTTGGATGGAAGCAGTCAGGCGAAAAGTAGGAGACATCTGGATTTCCATCCTGCAAATAAAAGCATAAAGAACACCTAAGTGTAGAAGAAGCCACACAGTTCCAATTGGGCATTGCTAAGGCCAAATCAAAACCAGTAAAGAGAAATTCATGTTACTTGTTCTCCCTGCTCCATTGAAGAAAGGTTCTGGATTATCTGGTAATACAAACGGTACTTCAACAGACCCATGAGCTACCAGAAACACCCAGCTAGAGAGGGCTATGTGCCTCCATAGACAGATTCACCCAGAAGCAGCAAAACCATCATTTTCAATCACAGGTATAGCTCCTCTTCAGATGCTGAAATAAGAATGGGTTTCTATCTTTCATTCCAGTTATCRTTAGAACTGGCACCACAAGTACCATTATGCTCTGCAGTACTTTCTGCACAGATGTGAGTTTTGAAAAGATCAAGAAGCAAGTGTTTGATGGAAGGCAGCCAGGCTGACCAAGCACACCAGAGCAGTCTCTTTTCTGAACAAAGCTTTAATACAGGTATTGGAAGATCTGAAGGAAATGGAGTTTGAAAATTTAAATAGCTTGGCTGTCACATGAATACTAAGATTAGGGTCACACATGACTGAAACAACTTTTTTGGTCAGAGTAGCTCTTCCTCAAAATTTGAGCAGGTTTGGATTCAGTGCAATTTGTCTTCCTTTTTAGAGGACTTCTACCAAAATTTCCATCATATCATTTGCCATGTTTAGAGGCAGAGTTTTCAATTCAGGAACACCAGAATGTTGTGTGAGATAAAAAATACAGAGAGCACCTTGACCTTCTTCAAATTTGAACTAATGCTTGTGAAACTATAAAAAATGTTCAGAAATATTTTGCTTCTGTTTTTGTTTCCATGTTCCCTACYCTCAGTACCAAAATCCCTAGGGATGACTTTTCATGGGCACCAACTTCACACATAACAAACAAAACAAAAGGCCTGTGAAGCTTTCAGCCAGTTTTCCAAATTTGGCCATCTTGATCTTTCAAACTTTCACCAGCTATTGGGAACATTTTCAGGATTAGACCAGTTCAATTACACCAGAGCAATCCCTGCTCAATATTTTTCCCCATCTGCCCTTAGCTCCAGGTGCATATGAAAGTATTTTCAGCTTTAGGGAAAGTTTGAGTTTTTCCCCAGTTTTCAGCTTAATGGAACTTGCCATTCAAGGAACTGAAATACACAATATACACATGAATTACATAAAACTACTTCCACAAGATCATAGGTAAACTTCCCTTTCTGTCAGACACAGAAAAATGAGTTATGTGACATAAAGGGGAACTGATGAGCAATGCAGGTATGTTGCTTTAAGAACTGTAACTTAATAACTCTGTCTTTTATTAATCATGTTGTGTTTTCAGAAAAAAAATATTTATGAACCCTTCAGAATACACATAAAYAAACCTCTTAAATCAGGTTTTGATTCATGTTCAACAGTAATTGATATTGACATAACAATATGCAAAACTAAGAACTGCTCACTATATGAAAATATGTTGTACTATACCAAAAAGCAACATCTTGCAAGAAAAGCACAGAACAAGATGAAACTATTTTGCATACAGTCTCTAMAGGTGAGATACCCATCCTTAGTCCTTTAAATGCAGAAACCACCTTTAGATGATACCTGATCAAGAGCAATCCCCACATTTTGGAGGAAAGGCTGGATGACCACTGTGAAATTTTCATGAGTGTCATATCTGCCAGATTCTACCAGTCTCTGAATGCCAAGCTGTAAGAAACAAAAAACCACAGCAATACATCAAAAACATCTGTGCATCATAACTGTTTCTTTCTTTGGGTTTTCTGAAAGCCCAGGTACTTTTGAATTTAAATAGCCACAGGCATTGGCAAAAGAGGGCTGAGATGTTGCAAAGGGGMTGAGAAGGCTGGAACAAAATACTGAAACTATTTGTCAGGGACAGGATTTTGGTGACTAAACTCCCGCCGATTAACTTCTACTAGGAAACATAATTTTTCTGAAGACTTCTGCTGCTAATCACATGATAGGCTTGGATAGCATCAAATGACCCCCTTCTTAGTTCATAGTTTGGGTAAAATACTGATATGATATGTTGCTTGGTAACCAAGAGGTCACCTCAACTGGAAATAAAGTAACTGCACCACTCTTCATAGTCATACCTGGTAAGCTTTGATGGCTTCCCTCACCATTGTTAAATTTTCTGAGTTTTCTTCTCCTGTGAGAACACAGCTACACAGATAACTGCAGGAGAGGTTGGAGGAGAAAACAGAAATAGAGTGAATTAAATACCTCATAATTCAGAAGCCACCCTTTGCCACYCAGTGCCCTCATGACATGGAAGTAATACAGGAACTGGTAGAGWGACGTTTCTCTGAAAACATGTTATTGTCCTTGCTTGGTAATTTCAAACTTGAGTCTTATTTTCTGCYTCACATGAATGATACTACTCTAAGTAACTTTGGTTTCATACCCAATTATGTCAAAGTATTGCACACTACACAGAAGATAGTTTGTTTCATTAATTACAGCCTGGCRTCCAAAGGCCCTGCAGACTGACAGAGGAGCACACCAGACCCCCTTGAAACAGAAAGCAGGTTTGTGAAATGTACTGCCTGCTTTAATTCAAGCTGATACATTTCAAACCAACAATTTCTTTTGCATTCCCAAGACAGAGAATTGGTCTCTGTCTGAAAGATCAGCAAAGAACTCAAATTACCCATTGCACTAAAACCTCTGAAACAGGGGAAACCTGTCTACTCTGCAAATACATCATGTTCCCACAAAAAGGCCTTCAAATCCAAGTGTTTGTGGACTTCAACCCCATCATGAAGAACCCTGTATCAGTAACTTTAACCCTAGCCTTTGAGGTGTACCTTACATAGAGTTCTAGATATGGAAAACTCTTAGGTCAAAGCCAGGAGAAGGAAATGCCATTAGGCAGGGTGATGTCAGCACTGCACAGGAAGTCCATAGGACTGTGCTGTTACCTTTAAACATCAGTTCAAATTATGAGAGAAGCATGGAAGAAGAATGCACACAGGACAAAAGGAAGTCAAACAAGCCTTACTCTGCCAGGTAGGTGGGGCACTGAACTGGAGTGTCYACAAATAGCCGTCTCAGAGGAAGGATGTCCACCACATCAACCAGACTCACCAGAGCTTTTGGAACCTGAAAGGTAAGTCAGACATTAGCTTAGAAGAAACTGGTTACACAGCCAACAGTGCATTTTTTTCACCCTAAAGTCCAGCCATTTGACGCCCCTTTACTTTCTCCACTCTTGGAAGGATACAAAAATTTAAAAGAATGAAAAAGCAACAAACTCCCCACCAAACTCCTGAAACTCAGCTTTTGATTCCTTTCCCACRCCATAGCTCAATGTTACTATCTGTCATTTCAGAATGCATCTCACTACTGCAGACAGACAAGACAAAAGAAAGTGGTTTTGTAGAAGTCAAGAGAATGTGTTTGGTACCAGAATGGGAAAAAAAAAGCCCAGAAAATCAAACAAATAGAAGAACTAGCATCAGTCAGTCATGTCTCAGTATGRGCTAGAATGCTGAGATAATTTCACAGTACTTGCCTCCTTGTGCAGAATATCAAGAGTTTCTTGAATCCTTTTGATGTGATTCCCAGCTGAGTAGTGATCCTGATAGAAACAGGAGAGATTACTGTCAAATGGAGACACAAGGAATTTAGGTTGGGAAGCTGGAGAATCACATTAATTCACTTCCTTTTCTGCCTTACAACACTGTGGTCAGTAGAATGTTCCTGCTTCTTTCTGGAGACTGGGGATTTTACACATACCAATTAATGTAAATCATAGRAAGGCACAGTGAAATTTAAAACCCTTAGATTTAAAACAAACCTTATTGAGTAGCAGCCTATTTAACCCAAAWCCACTGGGCCTGTCATGTAAAAATGCAGGAAGGAACCCAACCTGAATGCATGTTGAACAGCATAAACCAAGAAGCCATAAGCATGCCCACAGCCAGTTGATAAGCTCTCATAAAATTATGTGAAATCATTGCTAGTCAAGGTCATAGCTATAAATAAGGCTATAAAACTTGGCAGCAGCAGCCAAGATGCCTAGCAAGGCTCCTGCAGAAGCAGCACATTTCTCAAGCACAGAGGGTTGCAGGAGAATTGAAAATGCWCATAAGAAGTTAGCATATTAAAGGCAAGAGAGTGAAAGCTGGCAGTGAAAAGTGGCCTCTCCCTGCTGCCTGCCCACTCAACTCCCATGGTCTCCTCATGGCAGCCCTAAAGGCTTCTCCACAATCCAGAGGAGCATAACATGCAAATTAGACTGAGCACTGCAGCAACGTCCCTCACATACACATCCATACACACCTCACCTGTTCCTAGCACCGCCCTACCCTGTGAGTTATGGAGTGATGACAATTGTACGCTTGCACTGCTTTGAACTTGCACTACCATTCTTGGATGTCTAAAGARGCCAAGCTAGCAGCAGAGCAGTTACCACATCACAGGGGTGAGGCATTTCTTCCCTTCAGTATTTTGCTTATGGTCAAGACACAGTAGCCAAAGCAGTGGTTCTTATCCTGGAGTAAGCCAAAGAAAACAAAACCATCCTACTCTGTCACTGGTAACTTTTAATAYCAGGGTACTGCCAGCAACAACGCCCATCAAAACACACATCAGCCCATGCATAACTCATGTTATCTCTGTGAAGGCTTGATGGATCAACAGATCTCCCTCGATGTGTTTCTACACTAACAGTACTGTTTCAGACAACCAGTCCCACTACTCACAGGGTTTTTGCAATAGTTGCACAGATCATTGGCTCCAATGTGCACCGTTATGAGCTTCCAGTCAGCMCTGAAGTCAATCCTCTGYGCAATWAAGAAGAAAATAAYRAGTCTGAATTTCTTTAACTTTGTGATATGCATGTGTTGTCATTGCAKGTGGATCTGCTKTGTGAAGCAACMCCTATTTCTATTCATGCTGTCAGATTAAAGGAGTTGCAGACAACTTTACCTGATCATTTTTCATAAGTCTGACAAGATTTCTTGCTTGAGCTGGCAAGTGCCTGGAAAGAAGGAGAACTAGTAAGCAGAAGAAACACCCATACTGAGAGATCAACATTACACTCTTCAGACATCTTAAATCAAGTTGTCAGRTATCAGAAGGGTTGAGTGAGGACACAGTATGATACTCATGTTGCTGTGATCAAATTACAGGTTCACATCTTAGTGATAAAATCAACATCAAATCAAACTTGAATACTGATTTTACTCAAGTTCAGTAATTAATCTGGAACCATAAATTCAGCTCCTAATACAGTGCTTAGCAGCTAAAACAGCTGAAAAGCCAGACATGGAAACAGTTGTAGGCAGATGGCCTCTGTAGAGCCAGGCTGCCATCAATCTATTCCTTGTAGACTAAAAAAAAAACCCCTCAGTTCCAATACTTAGCTGACCTCTTGAGCAACATGCCCCTGAAAAGCTTAAGTTTCAGAGTCCACTGTGCACACCCTCCTCATTTTTGTAGCCTGCACCCASAGTCAGTACATAACTGTACACTATGTGAAACTGCTCTGTGCGCATAACTTTTCCAAGGTAATTAAAAATCCAAGAAACCTTCAAGATTACTCAGACAAGTTAAGATGACAGCCTTGCTGTTTTCCGACAGCCAGGTGAGCACTCTCCTTTTTTTTTGTGGATAGATAGAGATAGATAGATAGATAGATAGATAGATAGATAGATAGATAGATAGATAGATAGATAGATAGATAGATAGATAGATATCTTAAGTGCAATGAGTTTTGATTTACCTAGGCTAAATGCTTCAGCTTTATTTGACTGCCCTGACACATCAGCCTTCACATATGCACAGAGAAGAGAACAGGGTCGGAAAGCTTTGACCTTCCAGGCAGGTCTGTAGTATGGAATGAGCTGCATCTCTCTCCAGGCTCTTGTTAAAGACACTGKCTGTCTGTCATTTCTGGAAGCATTATCAGCTGACATTAATAAGCACAACACTTGTTTTGTATGGCAACCAGAGTTTAGCTTTCCTTTGCAATACTTTGTTTACTGCAGGAAAAAGAGAGGTCTCTCACCACCCTTGTCCAGCTGAATACTGATCTACACTGACATACCATCTACTGAGGAATGAGCCCTGTCATACAKCTACTTGTGACACAAGAACTACTACATGCATGCAGTGCCTATCACCATTATCCTTGTCCAATGTCATAGCCTACTTATTTATATCCCAAAGCTATCACAGGTGGTCACAATTTCCTTCTTAMTATGGAAATTCCTAAGCTACGGCACTGACTTCAATATTGACACAGAGGAAAACACCAATTATTGATTTGACAGCCCACAACATATTTGATTTCTCATGCAGCTAGTGAGGTGCTGATGCATCCTGAGCCAGTGCAGTCAGCGAGAGCTAACAAYATCTTGAATGAAGTCGTGTCAGGGATCACCCATTCCTGAAATGCAGTTTCAACCAAATTTAGATCTTGACCAATGGAAGCAGTTTSCTAATGGGAAATACACATATTCACAGTTCCTGTCACCTGTTTTCTCCTCTCACTCTTAAATTCTTAAACTGCTTTTTTCCCCCATGTGAAATCAGATATCTCAGCCATGCTCTGCTTCAGCAACATTATTCAGATCTATCCTTAACTCTATTGTGTACTCAAGCAATGAATGCAGATAGGCTTAGGAACATATTGCTGAATGAGACCTACATTACTATATTTTCATCTAGTTCACTAAAAAGCTCTTCAAARCACCCACAGATTATATTTTAAGAAACCCTTACACCTGGTTTCCATAAGCTGGTCAGGCTGCAAAATTATCTAATTTCAGAAATGYCTCAGCATCTCTGGAAAGCACTTTCCAGATGAGCACCATAAAGCAAGACAGGCYAGGTAACAATTCTTCAATACCAGCTTTAGCTGGTGGACTTTTTTGCCCTGTGAGTCATTGGAAAATGGATAGTTTTGGTTGATGAAGAATAAATGCTGGATTGCAATATCATTCCAGGRTCATATAMCTAAAGCAGGAGAACCATTTCCTTATGTTGCAATACATTTCAGTACTCAACTAGGATGAATTCATCTTAGGCACATCAAGAGCCAAAACATTATAGACACAAAAAAGTATCACAGAGCTCAGGGATATTAGCATAGTAATTTACAGGACTTTACTTTTGCACAACTTTCTGCAAAGTATTATGAGACAGAGAAACAACAGAAGACAAGCAAAATCTGGCATGATTGTTGTCGGTATCTCCTGGCTGAATGTTTACAAAACAAGGTTACAAAACAAAGAGAGCTCAATTTCATCATGTTTATCCAGTCCAGTCACTTGCAGGGGAAGAGAGAAAACTAATTGGTATAGATGAAGTAGGCAATTTTCATTACACTAACATCCATCAAATAACTTCAAACAGTTTACAAATAACTATTTAATAGCAATGCTTCTGTTGCTGCTGATACAAGCTGCCTTAACTCACAATGGTGACTTAAGAGGTTGTGGATCCTATGTCAAGTCCTTTTCAAGTCCTCCCACCCTACCAAAAAGCCTCTTTAGGCTTTAACTGATAAAGAGTACAAGACAGGCACCTAACTCACTCTTTCATGCAACAAGCAAAAGCTGGAGGTAATCTGGATATATGCTGCATACAGTATGTAATAAATTCCCATTGGTGAAATGTGCATCAGCCATTAATGTACACAGATACATTCAGCCATCACCAGGTTAAAAAATGCCTTCTATCACTTCTGGGGGGCTGTTGGATACAGCAGGGAGCCTAGCACTCTATTTCTGTCAGGAAATCCATGTATTTACTGAGATTAACAGAATGAGTCAGAAGTTACTCAAGGTCTACAGGAGAGCAATAAAAAAACCTGATAAATCCTAATAATCTTTGCTTAGATACAGCAAACTCAAATACCTCTCTTGGCTTCTGAGCATCACTTCTAAGACTCCTTCGGRAAGCAAGATGAATTTTTCTTTAAACAAACAAATTAAGTTCTGGGTAATATCACTTCACAATGTCAAATCCAGGCATGGTCTGCCAGATTCTGTGCCCAAACTATGACTGAATCCAACCAGCCATCTGTTTTGTTAATTAAACAGCATTGACTTTCAGTAAGTATCCAGGGATTTCCAGGATAAGCAATATAGCAAAGCTCAACTCACGCAGCCTCCCAGGTGTGACTAGAARCAAGGAGCCAAATTCAGATGACTGCAAGACATTACAATCCCTATTATAATGGCAGAACTGGCTGCAACTGCACCAGGTCTGCAATGCACCAAAACCCAAGTATGACCACMAGTAATTCTCTTTTCTTAAGATTCCTGTTTATTCCCTGCCTCCCTCTTGTCCACTCCTGCTTGCTTATCCAGAAACCTGAGGCCAGAATTGTGTAAGATTTCATCCTGTTTTACTCCTAGTTTCTCTTTATCAATTTRTTACACATTCAATTTCTAAACACATTCATGTTCTCAAGAGATTTATTGACTGATAAATGGATAAATRAATAGATGTTGAACAGGAAGAGTAGAAACTTCCAAACATTTTCTGCCAGTTTCTTGTTTGTGGATTTCATAACCAGGACTGTTAGTTTCATTTGAAAGTTCAGCTTTGAGATAAACCCATATATTTAACATGTTTTGAGCCAATTTCAACTCTAACTAGACTGGTTTTGCTTGCTCTTCAGAACAAGTTGTGACAGCACAYGAGACAGTTGAAAGGCAATTAGATGAAGCATCCATCACCTACAAATGTAAAACAAAAAACTACGTACTCAGCCTGTGCTCCAGGAACTGCCTGGTTAAGGAATGCGTTTGTATCATTCTCATTCCCGGTACCAGTTGAGTAGCCCGTGATGGTAACATTGAACTCTCGAAAGATGTCTGAAAAACAAAGGTGGCAGTGAAGGCAAAAACACTCCAGCTGCTCCCTGCCTACAGGGACTAGCACACACCAGCACTGCCACAGTTGTGCTCTCTGACAGCACAGCTGCTGCAGCTGCCAGTCAGCTGGATGGATTCGCCAAGCAGTGGTGAAAGGGGTCACCAGCTGGCAGTGACTCAGCAGCCTGCATGCAGTGCCCTGCACTGGCACCAGCAGATAAGATGAGCAGAGCTGAGGACTACTGTGTGCAGTTGTCTCTCATGTTGTAGTGGTTAAAGCCTAAAACAAAATTCTCAGTCATACGCTGACTTTGTGAAGTAAGCCTGAAGGRTTCTTCAGCCCAGCAGGAGCTCATTTCCAGCTAAAGGATCTGGGTCTGCTTCATTGCTGTCCAAAATCTCATTCTACTGACAAATGAGAAGAACAAAGCCTCAGATGCATGGTTCTGACAAAGCCCCACCATGTTCTCCATAGTAATTTCCAAAAGGAAGTTGACAGAGTAATTTACAGTTGAGCATGAACATGGCCACATTGTAAACTRTAAAATCTACTTTAATCTCTGAGACTGAATTTAACCACATTTTAATGATGGCTTCATCAAATGTAATACRATCCAGTGAATCAATTAATTGCTTTTTAAAATTACATTCCTGTTACATTCTGCTCAAAATAATGGTCAACACACAAAAGAAGAGTTTACTGGCACTCTTCAAATGGAACTTTATTATTACAGCTGATCCAAACTGAAACTCAGGTGGCTTTACATTGACAACGAGCTGAGCTATGAAAAGTTGTGCATTTCAGTGAAGAGAAAGTTAAAATTATTCCCATCTGGTTACTTGTATGAGTAGGCATCTTTTTTTACCAGAGGCGTACTCTATGCAAACATTTCTCTTGGAAAACATTGTGATGGAATATTTATTAAAAGCAAATGTTAAGCACATCATGACCAGGGACATAGCCAGATTAYTTAGAATTCCAAATAATACTCACCAAACAGTTGAAAAGAGACAGGAAAAAGAAAGTAACGGAATTTCTATCTGGCTTCACTTCTTTATCTCAGCTTCACTGATGAAGGCAACTTTTATTAGTCCTAGGACATTGTTTCTTTTAAAGGTAGTTCCTGTTAATTACACTAAACTAGCTTTGAGATACTTAAAAGCTCTCTATAAATTTATCAGAAATCAGTCCTTTGCATCTCTTCAGTCTTGCCATTTATGTTTAGCAAAGCATTTACTTACTAGGTAGAGTGGTCACATTCTCCAATGACTCATCTCCTCCAATACTAAAATGAGAAAGGAAAATCCCAGTCACTCATCTCTTATCTGGACACAGATAATAAGTGGAATGAAAACTTGCCACAGATCATGGGGAATAGCAAAGGTTTATTAATTTAGTAACTATCAATCTGTCAGGATCCATGGAGAGGACACAAGCGAAAGTCTGATGGGGAGAACAGGTGAGGTTTCAGCGGTGAAGATGATTGCCAGAAAGATTTAATGCACTTGCAGGTGTACAGGCTATAGTCAATCATTTATCAAGTAGCAAAAAATGCCTCACAGCTTCATTCTCAAATGATCAAGCCTTAAGCACAGYAGTTTAGAAGGTCAACTTTGAGGCCCATTCCAGCCTCATGAAGCCACTCTAAGGCAACACCAAACACAAACAGCCCTTGAGTAATAAGAAAGTTTCAGCAGTGGCTCCTTACTCTCTTCTGCATTCTGCACAGGGATATATTTCTCCAACTTTTGTTTTGACAGGACATACTGAAGTCACATTCCAGCTTACAGAAAGGGACTAATACAGCACAGAACTGCTTCAGTCATTATCAACAGAGCTACATTACAACAGCAAAACCATTCAGTCTTTTGACTGTGTGTAGCTATATGTGCCAAAAGTTCTCTGGCCAAAGAAACTGCTTCCCATGACACTACAAAAAGTTCAGAAATAGAAAACTTTGAGAAGTCTCAACCAGTTCTGACTTGTTTGTTCCACTAAATCTTCTGCAGTTTTGTACTTTTCCAACCTGACRTCCAACATAAAAATACAAACTGTTGCAAGMAGCCGAAAAGGAAAGCATGAGAAAKATCAAAAGGCTTGCTTAAAATCCACTGCTGAAAAACCACCCTTATGGCAAATCCTGGATCTTGACACACCTCCAAGAAATAGCCTGAGAAGTAACCTTTTTATCAAATATGTGACAGCTGAAAGACCCAAACCACATCTCTTCATCATCTTGGCTGAAGACTTACCTCCAAGACAATCCCCGGTATTGAGTGATCACATCCTGGAGAGTGTCTGAGGCAATTCCTGAACCAGCCTGGACATTATTTTTCATTAACCAAATGAAATAAAAGCACAGTTACTAATGCAATAGCAACTTGTATTACAAATACACAAACAAATAYAATTTGCTAATAGAATTACATAGTTGTTTTGTTTACTTTTGAATTGAATAGATRTCTTCTGAAGCTTTAAAAGGCATCTGGCTTTTCCCAAACCATTCTCCTCAAGAACACAATAATACCTTTCATATTTATTTACAAGCATCCTATTGAATATGACGCACAAAATGTATGATGAAGCTGTGGAACAAAGATTTTCTTCTCATGGGTYTAGATGAGCTAAACAACTCTTTTAATGGTGCATTACTCAACAGTGATGAAAGCATCTTAATCAAACACATAAAACTTTCTGGCTAATGATACGAAGCACTATATGAACTCAGCAGAGAAAACAAACAGGTATCAGAAAGAAGCACCATAATACATATATATAAATTTTTAAAATATTGTACTAAATGTAAACTTAAAGCAGAATAGAGCAAGGAGGAAGCACTAGAGAGTTTACCCTGAAGAGGCAAGCTACCAACTACATCCCTCCTGAAACATCTCCAGAATTCAGAACAAGAGTTCCTCCCAACTATGATTGCACAGTTTTATTTTAAATCTAGGTGCAGGTTWGTTCTTCAATACAGTACAAGACCAGGCAGCCTATTTGCTGCTACCTTAGATTAAATCATAATACTACCTTTTCTTCTAAGTATAAACTTTATTGAAACAACAGAAGATTGGTGTTCAGAACAACTATGCACAGGCCAAGTGCAGCTCTGAGATAGCAATACACCACTGCATGTTCTATAAAAGCTGGTTTTATTCCCAGCTCCTACAGACTATACTTAGCAGGAGAAACACCTGCAGGGCCCTAGATATTACAATACAGCACCACAACCATATACAGAATATCTTTCATTTGTTAATATTGCAGGTTTACATTCAAATGCTTCTATTTATTTCAGTAGCATCCTGTGTGTAGGAGTTGTAGCAACATGTCTGACAGAGAGTTGTAAAGGGTTCATGGTTTGTACCCACAATGTCTTTGTTGTTAAGGCTCAGATTCGGAGAAATCTGTGTTCCAATTACATCTTTCTGYCCAGTGTTTCCTCTGACCTGGCTGTAGAACTTTGACCAGTATGAAAACACTAAGCAGAAAGGCATAACTKGAATATAGGGTGCCTGGATTTTGAGATATATTCCTTCTTGGCTACTAAAGATAATCAGCAGCAGCAAGAACTATATCGTGTTCAAGAAATCAGCTAGGAGTTAAAACAGGTGCAACAAAAAGATTGAATATCTTCTCAAGTGCATTGAGTTAGAGGGCTCTCACCYCATATTTCCTTATCACATTAATGCTAAAATTAATAAAATGCTATTATCCAGCAATGCTTAGTTGCTTTCTGCTCCCAGAAGAACCAGCTCATCAATCCATTCCTATTCAGAAAAAAAAATTAAAAGCACAGTAACCTGAGCCTTGTGCTTTGTTGCATTTCAACAGCAAGTGATCCCTTCTGTCACCAATTCAGCAAATTACTTAGGCACCTTTCTAAAGGATTTTCCTGTGTTTTTGCTTGAGTTCTAAAGCATGTGAATACCTGCATGGGTGGCAATGAAGTGCTGGAAGACTGACACCTTTCTTGATCTAGTTGCTAGAACTATTATCATCCATGAATGAACASAACTTTGCTTCCAGGTACAGTAGCTATTTCCCCTCCACTGGAGCAAGCACATGCTTGMAATTTTACCAAGAGAACAGTAAAAACACCATCTTCTTACCGTCAAAGAATCCCCAAGGGCTGCTACAATTTTCACATCAGCTGGCTTTAGGGAATGCACTGCAAAGGAAAGGGATGTAGTAGAACTGGTTAGGAAATAGCTATTTTTTTTCTCTACTGTGTATGTGAAATATGCCGTTGTGATGCTCTGTCATGTTTTTGCRATACTCAAATGATGAATCAGAAGTTTTTCCAGCTCATCTTCTGTGATTGTAGCACCAACATATGCATATTAGTCACTATTTCAATGGTTAACTTCACTACCCAGGAAGACAGGAGAGCAAGGAGCAAATAACAGTAAGTGGCAAGCAATATCCAGCACTAAAGGGAAGGTAAAAGAATGCAAAATTATGCAAAGCTGGAACAGCACATTAAAGATATAAAAAGACTAAGAAGAAGACAATATGGAGTAATTTGAAAAACTGAATACTGTTACATGTCAGACTAACAYGAAATGAGCTGTATTCCCAGTTTCTTGTGGTAAGATTTAGGTGGAATCATTTATAAGCTATGTCAGCACTCAAATCTGAATTTTATCACGAGTTATTTTGAAGTTCTCCACTGTCAGTGAATCCAGTGAAGCTACTTAATCAGAATGCTCCCTGGCATGACAGAGTGGCTGTTACAGATGCAAGGCATTGTAWCTGTTAAGCATCTGCTGAAAAACGTGACATCCTTCCTGAGCAATGTTTTTCATAGTCCAGCAGTCATTGCAGCAAAAATTAACATTCATCTTGAAGGACAGCTGAAAGTAATTCAACCTCTCAACATAAAACAGGCAAGACTACCTGAAGTTGCCGGGGGGGAGGATGGAGACCTGTCCTCACATAGCAGCTGGCTCCCATAATTCTAAAGAGAAGAAGAAAGCTGAATAGCATTTGGTTAGCAAATACAGCCATTAGTAACTAGGATCTTCCCAGCAGAGGCCAGGTGGTTAAACTGGAGTCTCTTTAGCATGTAATTAACCAGACAGGTCTTGGTTACTCAATTCAATAACCATATTCARTATTGCTCAGAACAGCGCAGCATCCTGAACTGATAACAGTGCTGTCTGAGCASAGGCTCTTACAGGTGTTTCCAGATGCATTTTGTCTAACTCAGGGGGTACTTCCCTTCTCTGCACCAGGCACTCAGCCTCCCAAGCCCTTTTGGCCAAAGCTCGATTTCCCCTGTGCTGCAGAACATAACTCATTTGGTTACCATATAGGAACAGATGTTGCAGTGGGATGGTGATGTTGACACTTACTGGAGGTTGGTTAGGGTATGTGTAATTACTGTTCTTATATGTCCTCAGGAATGGCTCAGCCTACAAAAGAAGGCAATCTGAATCAATGCAAAGCATCAGAGGAACACATGGAGATTTCCATTCCCCAAACTTGAGTTCTCAGATGTCTGTAAATGATTAGCAGCTTGATGCAAATAGAACCCAGGGATCC